CTCTATTCAGATGTTAAATGTACTGTCTGTACATTCGCATATCTGTAGAATGTACCACACGTTCTCAGTGTGTGTGTTTGTGTTTAGGTTGGAACGAGCTGCTCATCGCTTCGTTCTCACACCGTTCGGTGACGGTTAAAGACGGGATCCTTCTGGCCACCGGCCTACATGTCCACCGCAGCAGTGCTCACAGCGCCGGGGTGGGCTCGATATTTGACAGGTCAGGTCGCAACACAGAATCCATCTCACCACCTCAAACCCACACCTAAAAAATGACTTTCCATATGACATTGTCCACTATTTTTATCATCACTTAGATTTGATATTTCTTTATATTATTCATTGCTTGTAAATCCAATATGCTAATCAAAATACATCATCATGTTTGCAGGGTATTAACAGAACTGGTGTCTAAGATGAAGGACATGCAGATGGACAAGACAGAGCTGGGCTGTCTAAGAGCTATCGTCCTCTTTAACCCAGGTAAAGACCTGTCCCGAGCCTTCAATTCACAGAAACACACAAGGCCCAGACAATTTCAGACAGACAGATCAAAGTTAGTTAAATATACAGCATGTATTCATTGTTTCAAAGCAACTTTACATGGATAAAAAGGAAAACAATGATTAAATGACGTAAACAGTATAAAATTTTGCTCTTACAATTGTGAAAAACTGTGTAAAGTTAACTTGTGAAAATGTTTTTTGTGTTAATTACGGTTTATTGTTTACCGTTTCACAGATTTTACTCCCATAATTCGTGTAAAGCATCATGGGGCGCTGGAAAAAGATGGATACAAATACAAATAAATGTTCCAATATAGTTTATGAGCATACATGCGAAACAGGACTGTAAAATAAAGTGCTACCCTTTTTCTCTAAAAGTGTAGAATGATTGAATAAAGAAATTTCTTGTTCAGGCAGCAACATTCAGTTTTAAGTCAGGATGATGAAATGCATGTGTTCTTATGTTTTATGCAACTGTCCCATTTATAGATGCGAAAGGATTGTCAAACCCATCAGAGGTCGAGGCATTACGGGAAAAGGTGTACGCCTCACTGGAGGCCTATACCAAACACAATTACCCCGATCAGCCCGGCAGGTAGTCCCTGCACTGCCACCTTGATATATTATTGATGCAACAGCACTGCTGTACTTCTGTATTTTAAGACAGACTTTGGCTCTTATTCGTGTTAATACATAGTGTTTTTTTCTCTTTTCAGGTTTGCCAAGCTGCTCCTGCGTCTGCCCGCTCTGCGCTCCATAGGACTGAAGTGCCTGGAGCACCTGTTCTTCTTCAAACTTATCGGAGACACACCTATAGACACTTTCCTCATGGAGATGTTGGAAGCACCGCATCAAATCACATGACAAAAGTCTTGCTTCATGTAAATTATCCCCCAGCGCACACTTAACCCCATTTTAACAAAAAGAAGTTGCACAATGTGAAGAAAAAAACAAACACAAAAGATTTGTATTGGTATTTTTAAAGAAAGAGACACTGTCAAATGTAAGAGTACTGTAAACCTTTATTTTGTACATAGATTTTACCAACTGTGATAGCTGCAACAACTAAATGTGAAAATATTTAATTCAAAGCAACACTGTATAAACAGTCACCAGCAATGAGTTTAGAATTATGAGAAAATAAAAAAAGTCTTTTAAAATGTTTTGTTTTTGCCTCATTTGAAAATAATCTTCAGTGGATGAAATGTGATGCATATTTCCACCTTTAACCTTTAACAAACAAGCTCCTTCCTCTGTCTCAGAAACACATTCACAACCAGTTTTCTTGTTTTATGAATCATGTTACTTAGGTCTTTGGTGTTAAAATATGTCACTGCTATTGTTTTCTCTCAAGATGAACATCAGTAATGTTTTTTCTAAGGCATGTTTATAAAAGCTACTTAAATGTCCAAATTAAAACTTAAAACTAAAGCCTCCTGGCTTAATCTAAGCCTTGTCTGTGAAATTATATTTATATTTTATATACTTATATTTTTAATTTATAACTAATTCTAATTATAAAAATACTCATTTAGTGATTAAAACTCTTTACTAAACCAACTATAATATGAATTTAATGAGACAATGTTACATTCCAAGTAAAAAAAAAAACATTCATTTAATTATAAAATGAGCCCCAGTGCTGTAACTTTATATAAGTGAGGTGTCATAGTGTTGTTCGGGTCTGTCTGATTGTTCTAAATCAATTATTTTGTGACTCACTGCTTGGGAAACTACTTTCTTCTCCTAAAATTAAAAAGCACTTGTAAAATGTCTGGAGCGGTCAGAAAATAAACACCATTAATGCGTTTCTCAGCAGGCATGAATGAAGTGTGCTTTCATCTGTCCCTTTTGAGTGTCTAGACTGATGGTATTTATGGAAGTGAAAATGCACTTTATGTGTCCATGATAACAATGCCATAACAATACGTGATTTCTTGAATAACCATAGACATAAGACAAATGTAACAAAACAGCAAACTATTTAGTCTCACCTGTGAAATGGCTGCATCAAAATTGTATGTTTCAGTGCCATCAGTAACATGTCCTACTCATTCACATCAATGGTGCAAATTAATGGCGGTGGATATAACACGCATAAACACTGGATAAAATAAAAAAAAATACATTTTTACAGATTCTACCAAATCTAACATTCGTTATATGAATTTAATCCACAATCCATCTCTGTATGTGCACAATTAGCGAATGAGAAACATTGAAATTATATCACTTTTATACCCCTATATCTAGATTACTTTAGCTAAACCAAGCTCTTTATCTTGCCATTATACGGGAACATTACAGATATAACAGAGTATATATAACTATAAACCCAACATATTTAATACTGGCTATTTTGTCTATTTACAGCTATTTCTAACACATTCAGCATATACAAAGGTTTAGGCCCAGTAAGATTTTTTTTTTTTAAATGAATACTTAAATTGTAATGATATTTCACAATATTTCAGTTTTTTACTGTACTTTGAATAATTAAAAAAAAATTCACTTTTTCGTTCTGGCCTACAAGGAAGAAAAGAAATAGTCGAATAAACTCGTTATTTTTGTTTGTTTTTTCGCACAAAAAGTATTCGCGTCGCTTGATAAACATATAGTTGAGCCACGGTAGTCACTTGGGATATTTAAACATTTTCTTCATTGACTTTCTGGGCCGTCAAGAGGCAGTCCCTTAGGAGCCAATGTGGTAGTTATACAGCTCTCAAATTTAATCAAAAATATCTTCATTTGTGTTCCGAAGACGAACGAAGGTCTTACGGGGTTGGTACAGCATGGGGGTGAGTAATTAATTAATGACTTAATTTTCATTTTTGGGTGAACTAACCCTTTAAGTGTTGTAGCTTTGATAATGTTGTTTTTGCTCAAACAGCAACATTGTACACAAACTAAAGTTAGAAAAGTGAAATCATATTTACACCACTTTAAACAAACTCAAAACTTTATAAAACACTATGGACAGACAGACAGAGAACTGAAAGCAACACAGGGTTTAAATAACAAACTGAAACTAGATAATTAATCAAACACAGCTGAAACAAATTAACTCAGTGATAGTGACCGAAACAAAGGAGTGGCGGGAAACTCAACAAAGGAACTTTGTGATGTGACACTCAATAATGTGGTCTAAACTGCCCTTAAATTGTCTCTTTCTAAAAAAAAAAAAAATAAAAAAAAAAACGAAACCCATACTAAGAACATGATCTAAGCTGGTTTTGCTTTTTTTTTCATTTTCTCAAACTTTGTTCAGACTATTAACAACAATGTCTGAACAGAGTCTGACTGTATTGGCTTTGATTGTTGGGGACATGAATAGTGGGCGTCCCTGAGGCAATGTTGACTTTTTGAAGCACATGACCAAACCAGGGGATTGAAATAATCACTGCAGTGTGTTTGGAGGTGTGGTACACTGCTTTAACATCTGAAAGACATTACTTCAGAACAAAAACCACTTCCCACAAAGAGGATGTTTTCTCTCTCTCTCGCTTAAGTTTCTTCGCAGCACATGGTCATTTTATTGCGTCAGGAGCTGAGAGAAAAGCCGAAACATTTATTACATAGCACAATAAATGTTTTTAATGACTACATTGTTGGATTTGGTTTGATTTTGGGTATTAAGAAGTCATTACGCCACCATTCTTCTCAGTTCGGCTTATGAAACAACCTTGCATACCTTATCAACCACCCAAACAATCACCAAAAACTCAAATGGCCTCGACCTCCTACATAAAACCAAATTTTGGACCACATTGAGTGACTCATGAGAGTGAAATAAGAGAAATATGTTTATATAAATGCTTTTTGTTGATAGTTACATAGTTTAATTTGCATGACCACATTAGAAAGGTCAAACACCATCTGTGACAACTAAAGAAAGTCTGGGAAAAGTGCAGGACCTCTGCAATGACATGGTTTGGTGTTTCTGAATTTGATTAAAAAGTTTCATTTTGACCCATAAGCTGACCGCTTTAGGAACATTTATGCACTAAAATCTAGTATCCGAACCACTCGACACTGACATTTTAAAGCCATAATAAAAAATAAAATTGCTAATTAACCGCTCATCCCATTTGTGCAACATTGATATCCAAGGACATTTTAACAAGGGTCACTAACTCTTCTGTCAGTACTAGAGACAGTATGTTCCTGGTAAACCCTACATTATGGGGACAAAATGTCCCCACAAAGATGCCAGTCTCTGAAATCCTTGTCCTTTGTGGGGACATTTTTTGGTCCCCATAAGAAAAACAGCTTATAAATCATAGTGAGTTTTTTTTTTTTTTTTGAAAATGTAAAAATGCAGAAAGCTTTTATGGATGTATAGGTTATGGATAGTGTGAGGGGATAGAATCATTATGTCTATGGAAGGTCCTCACAAAACATGAAGACACAACGTATGTGTGTGTGTGTGTGGGAGGTTTGATCCTCTAGTCTGTACATCATGCTTTAATTGGGCTGCAGTGGTTAATTAAAGTTTCTGGCCAACTGGAGAAATCCAGCTGCCATACAATATAAAAGAGACAGAAGAGCCCAAGGACAGAACAAGGTGAGTTCACAAAGACGCTTCTTTTCGGTAAGTCTTTCTCCGCATACACTCAAAAAAAATATTTTTGATGCAGTTCACTTTATTTAAACAATTCATTTTAATTTAACACCATTGTTTCTCATTCAAACATGATTTCTTCATGCTAAATTGTCTTAAAAACAGTTAATTTTTTGCTTAACTAATGCTTGAAAGAAAGTTTCAATCAAGTAGCTCAATCAAAGACGACTTCAATCACTGCTTTTCAGCGCAAAACTATAAAAATGTTGAACGTTTTCGTGATCATATCACATCTTTCTTAGCCTGTCAAAAGTTGAAACATTCAAATGTTTTCAATGTTTTTGAAATAAGTCGCTTTTACTCACCAAGGCTGCATTTATTTAATTAAAACACAGTAAAGACAATCATATTGTGAAATGTGATTACATTTTTTTAAAATGTATGTAAAACTGAATTTGCAGCATCATTACTCCAGTCTCCAGTCTCACGTAATCCTTCAGAAATCATTCTAATATGCTGATTTACTGCTCAAAGAAACATGTATTATTATCAATGTTGAAAACAGATTTTGCTGCTTAACATGTCTGTGGAAAGATTAAAAAAGAGAGAGATATTAATGTATTGACAGTAAAGACATTTATAATGTTACAAAAATTTTCAATTTAACTGCTTTCGTAAATTTAATAAATGCTGTTCATTAATTTTATATTAATCAAAGAATCCAGAAAAAAAAAGAATCACCATTTTCACAAACTATTTTAAACGTTGATAGCAAAAATAAATGTTTCTTGAGCACCAAATCAGCATTAGAATGATTTCTGAAGGATCACGTGACACTGAAGACTGGAGTTATGATTATTAAAATGCAGCTTTACCATCACAGTAATAAATTAAATTACATTTTAAAACATTCAAATAGAAAAGTTATTTTTATTTGTAATAATATTTCACAATATTACAGTTTTTTTTATTGATTAAATGCCTCGGTGAGCATAAGAGACATCTATCAAAAACATTTCAAAGTTCCCCATCTTTTGACACAGGTGTTGTTTATCAGAGTGCACTGTTACCATGACTGGATCCGCTCTGGTTTCGTCTCTCCTGGCGCTGGCCTGTGTTCTCCTGCCACTGTGTTCTGCTCAAGGTGAGTCGTATACTTTCTAGTGAGGTCCGTCGTGATTCTGGTGAGTTCTGGTCGAATGCTGCCAGCTTGTGTTGTTGTTTGCAGGCAGCTGTGTGGGCAGATGTGGCGAACCGTTCGCCCGCGGACAGGCCTGTAACTGTGACTACAACTGTTTTGTCCACGGCGAATGCTGCAAGGATTTCGATGATGTCTGCACCGTCAGTAAGACCCCGGCCTCACCACCTCACAATAAAGTTGCCACTTGTTATTTTTTATCAGGCTAGTAATTTACTTATATTTAAAAGTTGAATAATCGTAAAATATTCAAATGGAAGCCTTTTTAACACATTCAAAGGGATAGTACAATTGATACTAGATTAAATGATTCAATTAATTACAAGAAAATATTTGGTGAACAAAATGGTCATTTTTGGGTGGACTATCCCTTTATGTATGCTGGATACTTGTTTTTGCTTTTGGTTTTTCTTCATTGTCCATTTTATTTTATTTTATTTTAGTTTTATTAAGAGTTTCTCCATTTTTAAACCTTCACCCAATATTTTCTTGTAAATAATTGATTTAAATCCTGTCATGAAATAATAGTCAGATTTTTTTAATTTAACAGTTTATTGATTGTTTAGAAAAAACAATGTTTTATGGCCAATATACTATGACACAGGGACAATATGGAGCCCATACTTGAGGAGTGAAAAAACACCACAGTTTTTTTCTGAGGCCCAAACTAAGAAAAAAAATATGTAGTTGTTATTCACATGACCAAAAAATAGCTTGTAATACAAAATCAGTACAGCAGATTGCACAAAATTCATATAAATATCAGCTCTGTCTTAATAAGACGATATTTATAAGCTTAGTTTTATATGCATTTAAATGCATTAAAAGCTCTGTAGTCTGATGTATCATTTGATATTTAAACTTTTTTTTTGATAATCAAGTAGGCCTTAGTTGCTTCAGTCTAGTAAATGTTCTTGAAATATTAATAACAAAATTAAGTTATTCTCACATTTACTTTATAGAAATCATGAAAGATTTTACAGCAAAAAGACACTTGTACGTGTACGATTGTGTAAACAGTTTTTAGCAAAATTTTGATCATGTTGATAATTTAGACTCCTTAGAAATGCATGTGTCATGGGTAGGTTTTGACAGGGTTAAAAGTGTTGTGTGTGTGATTGGCAGGGGACTCGTGCAGGGGTCGCTGTGGTGAGCCGTTCCAGCGTGGGAGACAGTGTGAGTGCGACTCTGACTGTGTGAAGCACAACACCTGCTGCCCGGACTACAGCCCACAGTGTGGTAGGACAGAAGCTTTACACTACGGCGGGGATTTACAGTATAAAAATACTACTATAACTAAATACTATTTATATAGCATTGATTCGAATTGTTATAAATTACATGAATATTTTGAAAATGTATACTGATTTGATCAGATACCAGTTTTATTTTAGTTTTGACTTTATTCTTGTTTTCATCAGATGCTTTCTCCCAATTGCAAGCTGCAAGAAGCTCAAAACAGAACAAACCAACAGGTATTATTTTAATGTATATTTAATCCTCTTTTTTATGACTATGACCTTTCGCTTTGGAAAGTTAAGCATGATTTTACTACAAATAAAAACAAATTAACATTATTGTACTGAAACCATGGTATCCATAGTTATAGTTCTATTCTATCCACCAAAAAAAAAAACATAGTTACCGATACTACACTTTTACTTTAATAAAATATTTAATTTTGGTGACAGCTTGAGGGACCCCTTTAGTGCTGATTGGCTGTAGATACTGTAAATTCAGGTAAAGTTCATTCCCTTAAGCTACAACATGTTAGACAAAGTCAAAATTGTCTTCAGTCCCTCCAAAGACCAAAACACCAAAAAAATAGTGGTCTGACTGGAAGATATGTAGCTCTTCAGTTTGGATAATAATAAAGTGTATTTTTATGTTTTTTTTAGATTATACTGAGGAGTGTATGGCAGCATGTCTCGCAGTTGCAGCCCAGCAAAGCCCAGATCTCATGAGAGATGGTAAGATGTCTTCAGTGCCTTTACATAAATTTTATACTACACACTAAGATTTATTTGGTAAGATATTTGTATATCTTTTATAAAATATATATATATATATTATAAGTCTCTAGTGTTCACCAAGGAGAAATTAATTTGTTTGATCAAACATAGTTAAAAAACAGTAGTATTATGAGATATTACTATTTAAAAGAGTTGGTTTCGATTTAAATATGTTCTAAAATGTAATTTATTCCTTTGATAATAAAGCTGATTTTTCAGCATCATTAGTCCAGTCTTCAGTCACATGATCCCTTAATATTATCAATGTTAAAATATATATATTTAATAAAAATATAATTATATATTTTTTGTGTAACTAAATAACTAAAATGGACTGGAGATCATCCGCTTTGCTCCTCGGACACACCAGATAACAGCTTTGTGTGCTTACGTTAAAATAATTAACCTATTGAAAATAAAAATATATATACTTTTAATGGGTAAGAGACAGCCAATTCAAATCTGTATAGATTTACATCAGGCCTTGTTCTGGGATTGCACGGCTTAGGGAAGAATTTCAGAAACTTGGTGGGGAAGCACATTATGCAATGGTTGGTTAGACTTGATTCAATTCATGATTCATAGGGTTTTGGCTGAATTAAAAAGCAATTTGTGCAAATTTAGAATTATTTTTATTCATGTCTTTATAATGTGTCTTGAGCAAGAAAAGAGTCATTTTAAAAGTCAGTATTAAATATATATAATTTTGTGCTTTTATAAAGTTCTGATATTTTAAAATAAGCTATTTTCACAATTCACACAAATGTCCAAGTTCAGAAGTATGTAATGTTACCAGATTTGATAGTCAAAATGTTAACCAAACTACATACATGCCTTCACAGGTATTGGCTCCAACCCATCCGGGTTCCCGCTACCTGAATCCGGTCCTGCTCCTGCAGCTGGGCCACTACAGACAATGGGACCTTCCTCTGGGGCACTACAGGCAGGGGGACCTTCTTCTGGGCCACTACAGGCAATGGGACCTTCCTTTGGGAATCCCCTAACCATCCCTGTGCAGGTCTCTCTCTCTGTCAGCGGACAAGGTGACGGACCGTCCAGCGGACCTGACTCTGGTTCGGGTCGATCCAGCGGCACTCCTACAGAGATCGCCCAGGCCATGCCAACCAACAGCCCTGCGGGAGCTGGTATGCAAAACTTTTGAATTTCTCATGTATATGAAAATATTTTAAATGATTTGAATTCAGTATAAAAAAAAATGAGGAAGAATGATTGTCCCCCGGAATGATGGGGCAAAAATTGGTATTTTAACTTTATTAGGGCTTAATTTAACGTACTGTCAATATTTCATGGTATATACTGCTTGTTAATCAGTTAATTAAAATAAATAAAATCTGAATATATTTGAACTATTGTTTTTTGGGTTTTTTAAGATGCAAACTCAGACCCTGATCTCTGCAGTGGCCTTGCCATCGATGGAATGGTAACTCTCTTCAACGGTACCGTCTTAGTTTTCAGAGGTAATACTTCTGTTATAGAATATGTTGTTGCATATTGTGCTGGGGTTTTTTTTAGGACACTCAGAAATGTGCTTTCCTTCTCAGGTCACTTCTTCTGGCAGCTGAACCCCAAGACCAAAAGGGCTGGTCCTGCTCGTAGAATCACTGAAGAACTGGGCATCCCGTCTCCCATCGACACGGCCTTCACACGCTGCAACTGCCAGGGCAAGACCTACATCATTAAGGTACTGAAGAACATTCAAAAGGCCACAAACCAACTGTGTGTTTGCAACACATAAAAAACAAAGAATTGTACATATTCCTTCACTAAGGGTGACAACTACTGGAGTTTTGAGAATGGTGTTAAGGAGCCTGGATATCCCAGATCGGTGTCCCAGGACTTTGGTGGGGTCACTGGGGAGATCACTGCAGCTCTGCCAATCCCAGCCACCAGAAAGAGGCCCGAGTCTGTGTACTTCTTCAAGAAAGGTGCTCTCGCCCCCTATGTTTGATAAGCATCATTAGAAATAACTAAAATGAGAATATTAATCATTATTAGCATTTTCTAATCAGGAGGCACAATTCAGAAAGTCTCTTATCCCCCTGGAAGTGGACCAACTTGCAATGGAAAGAAATCCAAAAATTCAGTCTACGCCAAGATCCGCCGTGCCAGACAAGCAGGTACTAAATGAACAAAGTACTGAATGCTAAATTGAGGTACTTGAAGATAATGGTCTCAACTAGTGCTTTTAAAATAATAGCAACAGAATAGTTGTTTATATGCCACTATCGAATTAGTTTTGAGTTGAACAAACTTTTTCACTTTTCATTTTAATTGACAGTTCTCATTTTGAAGTGAACTAATCCTTTAATCATGTTATGTACCCTTTGTAATAGTGTATATATACACATTTCTGTTTAAAAAAAGCTTTTAGAAATTTGAGCACTTCAGCCTAAACTCAATGAGTGAATGAATTCATTATTTTTAATACTATTAGTTAATGAAGACAACACTGCAAACAAATAAATACAACCTCAAAGTTAATTTAATACATCTCATTTTTCAGAGGTCCAGTTGTCAGGGGAGATCAACATCAAACTCAAAATGAACGGCTTCCCGACCCCTGTGACATCAGCCATGTCCATGCCCAACCCCAGGAAGTCCGATGGTTTTGATTACTTTGTTTTCTCATGGCGTAAGTAACAATATTTTGTCTCGCAACAGATAAAAAGTTTTACTTAAATTTTAAGTCACATCTCAGTTTCTTTGAATCGGTTCAGTAAAATTGGTATATACACAATAACACAATCTGTGTCATTTACAGCTAAAGTCTTCAATGTCAAGATTAGCGGTGAGCTGCCTGCTTTGGCAGCCCCTGTCAGCCATTCCTCTCAGCAGAATGACATCAGGAAGTGGCTCAACTGTGCCTGAAAGACCCGCACTAAACAAACACGACCAGCAGCTGCATGGCAAGAAATATTCTCCATTTATTAGCAAAACCTTTGAACATAGCATCAGGATGATTACTCTTAAAATATAAAACAACAAATCGAACCAACATTGAAAAGAAACATTAACCAAAGTAAAAAAAAAAAGCAGTAGGCTGATTCCGGGGCCTTTGAATGATGTCGATCATGGGCGTGTGATCAGTGTTTCTGCTGGGCAGACGCTGCGAAGGCAGGTGGATTTAGAAGGGAGTGCCTCTGTTGAGTCCTCGACCCCGGCCTCCACGAGGAAAATCAATACCTATAGGATAACATTGAGATACCATATTGAATCTCACTCTAAACAAATTGAAGATTTTTGTAGATTAAGTTTCTACAATAAAAACAAAAAAGCTATAGAACAAACATCCAATTTAATACAAACTGTTGATTAATGTCCTGACAAATAAAAAGCTTCTGCATACATTTCAATTAACCTTTGCTTCAATAAAATAAAAGCTTTAAAAATCCAGTCTGTGTGGTGTTACTATACAGTACTTGAGAGAGTGTGAGTAATGAGGATGAGTGACATGAGTGAGTACTGGGATCCTGACCTCTCCTGATGAGCTGGTTCCTCCGGGGCAGCTGGTGCTGAAGGAGGAGTCGGCTTGCAGGCTTGGCCTGACCAGTACTGCTGCTAGTGCTGGTATCTAAAGACATCGAGAAGCAGGGTGGTTTCATATAGTTTTGTTATATAGTTTCACATTTTCAAGATGTAAAGTAAAAACATGTGTGCAAAAAATACATCAAGATTTTTAAAAAGCATTTTCCTTGTACAAATAATTCATATTCACATAATTCATAAATAGCATGATTTAGTTGAATTTATTACTATTATTTTTATTAATATAGCCTTGGCTTGTGTGATAGAATGATGATGATGATGAAAATATGCTTTACTTAACAAGTACAACTAACTTTACTAAACTACCATTTCTTTACAAGAATTTCATTCTTTACTGAAGCTTTTTCAGATTTTTTTCAGAAATTCAATACATTGGTTAGTTACACTTTATATTAAGGTGTTACAGCGTCATAATACATTTCAGCACTACATGTGCGTACTTAGGGTTAGTTACATGTAATTATGAACAATTTAAAGTAATTACATTAGCAAAAAAAGAGAGAAATTAGTGTTACTTTAACCGGTCCTACTGACCCACTCAGAGAGGGATTTGAACCGTGTTCTCCAGGCGTGAGAGACGGCGCTCTAACATGGACGCTAAAGACCACAGCCTCTAGCGTTAGTCGCTCTTGAGATCAGGGGAGGGAGGTTTACACGCACAGCTCTTACTGGCCTACGACAGTTACATTACCAATAGATTTTTTTTTTTTAAATGAACAAAGAATCTAGTATGAAATGCTGTGTACCTGCAGAGCTGGATGTGGGCTCTTGACTAGTGGAGGGCATGCTGGCATCGTCGAGCGGCTGAGTGGATTCCATCTCCGACTGGCCCTCTAGACACGCCTCACTACTCGCCCTATACACAGATAGCACAATTACTACATCTCCACTGAAAAAACTGAAAGAGAGGTGAACTAATAAGCTGAGTGAGCACCCACCCTTCACTCTCAGCCTCAGCCACAAAGACATCATCTCCATCATCTCCCGGGACAGCTTCGCCTGGGGCGGTCAGACTGGCGGTGGACGTGCTCACCATGGGAACCGACTGAGAGGCTGTCTCTGACACATCAGAAGGGTGACTCTCTGTGAATACGGTCACTGTCCAGACAGATCAAAGAACAGTTAGGTTTGACTAACAGTCATATATATCAACCAAATGAACGTAACCTGACTTCCACCAGCTGCTCACCTGGAGCAGCCACTTGTAGAGGGGTGGTGGGGACACTCCTCCCTCCAGATTCTTCATCGTGTGTGGGCAGGAAGAGAGGACTTTCATACATGCCCAACCCTGCCGAAGACAAACAGCCTCTTACTTTTATACGACCCACTTAACAGGAAGAATGCCGGGTAATGCGCAACATTCACATCAATTATACTACTCACCAGAATGATCACAATTAACAAAAACCAATAAAAAGGTATGTAAAGTTCTGAAGCTACCGTTCCACCACATCCCAAAGATGCTCTATTGGGTTGAGATCTGGTGACTGTGGGGGTCATTTTAATACAGTGAACTCATTGTCATGTTCAAGAAACCAATTTGAAATGATTCAAGCTTTGCTCTATACAACAACTCTTCCTCTACTCAAGGACTCAACCCCTTCGTTGGGTGTTCCCAGGGGCAGGGTTTATGTAAATTTTAGGGTTTGCGATGTCCCTATCAGTGAATTGTTTTAGTCCAGGGATAGGCAACTTCAGTCATGGAGGGCCACAATCCTGCTCAGTTTAGTTCCAGCCTTGATAAAAACTCACCTGCCTGTATCCATTTAGTAATCCTGAAAACCTTGATTGCCTTGTTCAGGTGTGTTTAATTAGGGTTGGAGCTAAACTCTGCAGGAAAGTGGCCCTCCAGGACCGAAGTTGCCTATCCCTGCTGTATTCCTTAAAAATGTTATTTCTGTAAAAGAAAATCTCTTTGCTTTGAACGTTGTAACCTTGCAGATGTTGGGGTGGTGGGGTAGCTGGGTCTGACATCATGAATTATGAATTGCCAAGTAGCCAGCACTTAAAACTTTCTCACTTGCAGATCAATACATATTTCATTACCAAAACCAAACACTGTCAAAACATCAAATTAAATTATACAATTTGAAATGTTAAATAATTAAAAATGTATACATTTTAAAATATATTAAAAATGAAAACCAATATTAAATTGTAATAATATTTCTCGTACTCTATTTTTAATTAAATAAATACAGCCTTGGTGAGCGAAAGTTTTTTTTTTTAAATGCTTTAAACTTTTTGAACGATAGTGTATAAATAAATAGAAAATAATATAATAATAAATGCTGTAAAAAAATATAGTTCAGAGTTTCCACAGAAACTAATGTTTGAACCAAAAGGACGTGAACTGACCTAAAACAAACTCTGGGTTATCTTGTAATCTCAAAACAAAGTTAAAGCATCATTAACTGTGTCATGCTGGTTCTTACCTCCATGTGTGGCCAGATGGCTCAAGTCAGAATGAGAGGAGCTGGCCTGAGGCATCATGTCCTCAGGAGGGCCGAAACGGAAGCGAGGAACGCCAGCCACCTGAGGAGAACTGAGATGGAGAGACGCATCATTAACAGAGGTGTTCAATGATGTGTCCCTTTTTGCTATAAAATAGTAAAAAGCTTCTGTGACTCACTGAATGGCCTCTGCAAAGCCGTCTGTGCGGTGTGGCACCACAAGGGTGGGAGTGCTGGGAACCATTCGGTCATCATCATCAAAGAAGTGTTGCTGTAGGAACCAACAATATGGTCAGAAACTCTGAAGACCTAAAGACACGGGATGTTTGCATTGGTATTACACACAAAGTTTACTCACCATGCTTCCGATTCCAGGCGTGAGCTGGGGCGCACGACTCATTGAGGGCCGTCTGCTCTGCCCTGGCTGCCTCTGTGGAATATAATGGTAGAGTCATCAAAATGATTTAATGAAGAAATGAAGCATGAGAATTATGTAGTGACCAAAAGACCAAATCAAAACTCTTATGCTTGAGGACATGGTTTGTCATGCATACCTGCATGATGGGGGGTCCAAGCTCAGGAATGGGGTGGATGTTGAGACGTGGGGGTGGGGTGTGATGTGGTCTCCGGGGGGATTGGGGCAAGCGTAGGCCCAGGGAGGTGGTGGTGGTGCTGGGGACTGGCTGGTGCTCTCTCACAGGCTCAGCAGGGAAGGACTCCAAGGTACTGACACTAGCCTCACCTGTGAACACAGAGTTAATTACTATTGCTAGATCCGATAAACGTATTCTTTAGAAAGAGCTATATTCTACACTTTCATAACCTAGTCACTGGATAAAACTTTTTCCTATGATGGTGATCAAAGAATCATGAAAATAAAATGCATCATGGTTTACACAAAAATATTAAGCAGCACAACTGATTTCAACAATAAAACATTAAGAAATGTTTTTTGAGCAGCAAATCAGGAATAAATTACAGATTAAAATAAAATAAAATAGCTCATTTAAATTTAAATGTTTCCCAATATTACTGTTTTTACCATTTTGATTTTTTTAATTCCACCTTGGTGAGCATAAGAGACATTTCAAAGACAATCTCCACAGCATTGAAGAAGGGAATGATGTGTGTGTGTTTTTGTACCACTGCTCTGAGAGTCTGCTTGCTTCTGGATCGACTCAGATGCTTCTTGACTCTCTTCATTGTCAATGCCTGGATCATCTGCCCCATCACCCTGCCAACACACCAAAACCACCATAATATGTTAAACTGTCAAACTCACTAGAAGAATAAAAGACGTTAAGTGTTATAAAAATAGGCGTCACCTCTGCCTCATTCCCCTCATAGGCCTCATTGGCATCTGCACTCCCACTGCCTTCATTACTTTCCTCAGCTGCTTCTGCCATCCCTCCATCACCATCTTCATCATCTTCATCTTCAGCATCCTCATCATCGTCTTCATACTGCACAAAGAAGAAAGGTTAATGCATGTTGGTAATTACATTGCTTCTCTGAGAAACACACTGACCTGTCCAGGTTCCTCCTGTTCCTCCTCCTCTTCCTCCTCCTCAGTGCCACTATCTGTCTCTATGATGATGACGTCATGCTTATACTCCTCGGATGAGTCGTGACCGCTGATCTGAGTCTCGGATGGTTGGGACTCACTCACTTGATCCATTGGGACAGACTGAGACAAAGATTCTTCATCTCCCTCTCCCAACACGGGATATGCTTCCTGTGAGCGATGAACAGACATGAATAGTGTACTGGTTGTTCATTGCTGGGATGAATAGTTAGTTAAATGCTGTTAAGAGATAAATGGCTGGTACCTCACTGGCATCAGAAGGCTGCTGGACTTCTCCTGGAGCTTCACCCATAGCATCATTACTCTCCTCAGTACCTGAAGCATCCTGCAAAAAGGGCATTGTGGAATGACGTATACATCTTAGTGTGATTGCATGGTGTAATCTTCTAATAACTTAATTTTTAAACTACAAAAATGCCCATAACATCATGTGCAAAGCCTCGGTTGATATTCAGGTCAAAATTAGCCCATGACACAATAAGTGATGCAATGTATAATTTTTTTAAATGATCATATCTTTAAAAAAAACATCTTAACCCATTTCCAAAGTATTGTTTCCCTGCTAAAAACTATGGATATCCATTTAAAATGTACTCTGCTCACCTCCAGGCCCACTCTTCTTATGATGCAGAGCTTCTTAGTGATGGGTGGGTGGGTGGGGTCGTCCTGTGTGGAGTCGCTCACCTCGGT